AGCAGCAATAGCAGCAGCAATAGCAGCAGCATTAGCGACAGCAGCAACTACAGCAGCAATAGCAGCAGCACCAACAGCAGCAGCAACAGCAACCGTAGCAACAGCAGACACAGCAACCACAGCAGAAACGGTAGGAACAGCAATAGCAGACACAGCAGCAATACCAACAGCAGCAATAGCAGCAACAACAGCAGCAATAGCAGCAGCAGCATTCTGCAACAACAGCAACAACAGCAGCAGCAGCAACAACAGCAGCAATAGCAGCAGCAGCAACAACAGCAACAGCAGCAACAGCAGCAACAACGGCAGCAATAGCAGCAGCAATAGCAGCAGCAATAGCGAAAGCAGCAACAACAGCAGCAATAGCAGCAGCAGCAACAGCAGCAGCAACCGTAGCAACAGCAGACACAGCGACCACAGCAGCAATGGTAGCAATAGCAATAGCAGACACAGCAGCAATACCAACAGCAGCAATAGTAGCAACAGCAGCAGCAACAGCAGTACCAGCAGCAACAGCAAAACAGCAGTAACGGTAGCAACAGCAATAGCAGCAGCAGCAGCAGCAGTACCAACAGCAGCAATAACAGCAGCAACAACAGCAGCAATAGCAGCAGCAATAGCGACAGCAGCAACAACAGCAGCAGCAACAGCAGCAGCAACAGCAGCAGCAGCAGCAGCAGTAGGAGCAATAGCAGAAGCAACAGCAGGAGCAACAGCAGGAGCAAAAGCAGCAAAAGCAGCAGCAGCAGCAGCAGCAGCAGGACCAGAAAGAGCAGCAATATCAACAGCAACGACAACAATAGCAACAGGTGAAGATAAAACAATGTGCAGTCCTTTCCCCAGGACAATTATCCAATTCTACCTGTTTTGATTATAAGTTTGAACACATCTAAATAGGGAAAGAAGATAGGGATAAGATAATGTAGTTAACAGCGTCCTACAGAGCAATGTACAGTCTTTGGAAGCGGAGAACATTAGTGCGTGAGGAATTGAGACTGAGGCTGTACAACGCATTCGTGATGCCAGTCTTACTGTACAACAGCGGCACCTGGGCACCCACTTCAGTGGCCGAGGCCCAACTGGATTCGTTTCACCGCAGGCAGTTGCGTAGTCTCATCGGTATTAGGTGGCCACAAACAATAAGCAATGCTGCTCTCTACAAGAGGTGCAAAGCACAACCGATATCTAACTTTGTTCGCCTAGCCAGATGGAGACTCTTTGGCCATATACTGCGCATGCCTGACGGATGTCCTGCTGTGGCGGCTATGATTAACTATTACCAGGTGAAGGAAACAGTGTGGAGGGGACGGCCAAGAACGACTCTGCCTATCGTGCTATCCCGTGACCTGCAGAGAGTGGGGCGGAGGGGACTCAAGACGTTGTCTGATCTCCTCTCCCTCCGGGAGATTGCACAGGGCAGAGGGGAGTGGAAGGACCTTTGCAAGGACGTCTGCAAGTCCAATAGTGGCGTCTACGACTAAAACCAAATAATATTGCTCCGAAATATCACAGTACTGCTTTTCATAACTGCTGCAGTAATAATAATAAACATCTTTTTTAAATACCAACAAAATTCCTCTCTTAACGTAGTGCGTGGATCTGCATCCACCTGCCACCATTTTACTGGATTATTCTCAAAACGGAGTCGACAATGCCCTTTATCCTGTGTCTGCGTCCTCTGTTCAATCTGAGCAATGCTGTCATGTGCCCCTTAGCAGGTACGTCTTGTATTGTATTTCTATTTCTGTTGTCGTTGCTCTTTTTATTTTTATTTTTTCATTTCCCAATTCCCAAGTCCATTCAGCACGTGCGAATTTGTGGGCGGTTTACCACCGCGGACATTGACGCGTAAGTGCATAATAATAATAATAATAATAGTTAACAATAAGATTATATTTTTCTACAAGCTGTACCTTTCTGCATTGCAGCAATATCATCCAGGTATGTGTAGGTCATCAGAAACCTCACTGATCTGCATACATCTGATTCGTGTTCCCCAGGACCAGAGATGAAGCAGAGGAATAGTACAGCTACTGACATCACCATCAGTCATGATCTCTATCACAGCAGCATCACACTCTCAGCAACTCTACCAGCAACTGCAACTGAAACAGAAGCAGAGGCATAAACAGGCAAATACCAGTATCTCCAGCAATAGCAGCAGTAGCAGTGTCAAGATCAGCAGCAGCAGCAGAGAGACAGACACAACAGTTTGAATAAGCAGAGCCACCATTCCTTGGTGTCATGGGAAGGAGAGTTTGGAGAGAATGCCATGGAAGAGAAGGAATGAATGAATGAGTATGTAAAGTGGAAACAAAAAGTCCCTTCCAACCCTGTGTATAGCTGGGCATGTAACGAGGAGAAGTTGAAGTTAAACAATTATTCCAAGGACAATTCTCCAATTATACAATGCTATTCCATGCGAATATGGGTGTCGTGAGATGGGGAGGGGGGGGGGGGGTGCTAACAGTGCAGGGGCTGGGGGTGCTAACAGTGCAGGGGTTGGGGTGCTAACAGTACAGGGGTACTAGTTAATAAATAAAAATGTACCTTTCAATACTGAACCATCCCGTCATCCGTCCATCAACCAACAGATCACTTTGCATATGGAGACCTTGGCAGAACAACCCGCTGCAATATGAGCAACCACGCCGCCACTGCGGATAATACCCCTGAAACAGCAACAGCAGCAGCAGCAACAACATAAGCGAAAGCAACAGTACAGCAACAGCACAGAAACAATATAGGTCTTGCCAGCACAGCAACAGTACAGGTCTTGCCAGGACGGCAGCTACATTAGTTGGCAGCACATCAATAGCTACAGTAGCACTACCACCAGTATAGAAACACTTGCAGTGGCAGTATCACCAGCAGTAAACGTCATATTCAGAAATGACAGTACATGACCAGCCGTCTTCAAGTTCCCACCAAAACTACCACAGTGTGGTCATGTGACCGGGGATTATTTTCAAACCAGATCCGTGCTATACTAGTTTAAACCCACCCATATATGGAAACAGGAGACGGGCAAGGGAAAGTAACTGACAAAAAGAAATCCTTAGACACAACCTGTACCTTACTAAGATGCAGCTCTGCCATCCAGATTTCTGCCCATCATCTGAGTACTCGCTGACACACACGTAACGGATCAATGTTCAGCACAGCTGACCATGGAGGAAGCAGCAGTAACAGTAGAGACACTGGCAACGCTATCCGCAATAGACACTATGACAACACATGAATACACACACAAACACACACCTCAGACCTCAGACATGCCCATCGCGGAAGCGATGATAGCGAACAGCTATGTTAGACATAGTGACTTGTGCTGGGATCACACCATTCAACAGCTTGCAAGGCTGATGAATTGAGCGCCACTTGACTAGCCTGGTAACCACCACACAGCTGTTTGAAGCGACTTGTTCTGGCCAGTGAATCCCTATTATCCATTTTTCCATTTTTTCACACACACACACACATACAGAAAGAGACGTGACTGCTGCAGCAACATCAACAGCAGCCACATAAACAGCAGAATCAGCAGCAGTAGCAGTAGAGGTGGGAGGCAGAAATAGCAGCAGCAACAGCAACAGGAGCAGCAGCAACAGCAGCAGCAACAAAAGCGAGAGCAACAACAGCAGAAGCAGAAGCAGCAACAACAACAGCAGCAGCAGCAGCAGCAAAAACAGCGACAGCAACAGCAGCAGCAACAACAGCAGCAGCAAGAATAACACACAAACACATACACACCTGTCCTGTCCTGTCCTATCGAGCCACTGCCACAAGGGTCACGTGGGCCTGGAGTAGCAACGGAGAGAGAAGAGGAGAACGCCGTCCCACGGCGTCCAGGACACAACGAGAGGTCGTCAGGATTCAGGTCACCTACAACTGTTACCCCAAGACTGACGTATGGCCGGGGGAGAACTTGAGCAGCGGTGTCTATTCCTGCCCTGGCCCGAACGGAAGCAGCGGCCGCATGACGCACAGTGCGCGCCACAACACGCCTCCACTGCGGCTGGAGACTAAGCCACACACTTGTGACGGGCAAGGCCAACACACACACACACACACACACACACACACACACACACACACACACACACACACACACACACACACACACACACACACACACACACACACACACACACACACAAGCAGCAACAGTAGCACAGAAAGCACAGCACAGAAAGACAATGGAGTCAGGAGAAATAGCACCACCAGTAGCAATATCAATGGTTTAATAATACTTCAGAGATTGCCCACTCGTATACATTTTATAAGAAGCTGTATAAGTACAGTTGATGATACTCTTTGACATACCTTGTAGTAGTCACATCCATCTGCTACACAGCTACAGAAATACCAGGAGGACCACTCTGCTGTTGATACGATAACACAAACATATCTGTAGCAGTGCAACGGGAAAATTCAGAAAGAAAAACACAAACAAAAAGCAGCAACATGCAGTTGCATAAATAGCAGCACCACCAGCAACAGTAGCAGCAGCAGTAGCAGCAGTAGCAACAGTTACGGGATCATCACCATCACCAGGAACATCACCATCACCATCACTAGTAGGAAAAATGACCGGGTCGAGCACTCGTCTGCAGGACAGTACGGAATCATGGAGTCACACGAGGATACAATCAATAACTTCCCTGACAAAAAGTCAGGGATGGGCGCATGGAAGAGACGGTGCGCTCTGGCGGGATTTTACGGTATATACCGGTATGGTGTGTGTTGTGAAATCCTAGCCGGTACAAATTTCATGACCCTACAGTACTATAATCACATAATACATGTCTGACTTGTTAGTATGGTAGAATTAGAATTCTGGAAACACACGGATATTCGCATCACTAATTTTCGCCATTTCTTAGAACCAGGGAGTTTACAATGGATAATGTTCGCAAAGGACTGTGGCCACTTTCATAAACTCACTGTTCAAATTTGACTTCGCTCAATATTCACATTAGGGCCGGGTTCCACTGCGGCTCGGCTGCTCTGCGGCACTTGGCTGCATGCAGCGGAGCAGCGCGGTTCCACTGACACTCATCATTTGCGGTACCACGAAATCAAAAAAACACGTGTTCTGGCCTGCGCAACGAAATGAAATTTGAATTTTAAAATTCTTGCGTACAAAACAGTGCAAAGCACGGGAAACAGATCGAGCCGCGACCGCGGCTCTCAGTTTTTGATCAAGAATCGTAGCAAAAGGTCGCTGTGAGCCGCGACCTCGCTGCTCCAGCTCGAGCCGCGGCCACTATGGTAATGATGACGTTTCAAGCCGCGGACGATGAGCAGCGGAGCCGCAGTGGAACCTGGCACTTACGCTCTTGTCGTGAAAATAGCAAACAATAATGTGTGGTGAATATTGTACAGTTACCAGTAGTAACAAATAGCAGATTATTAACAATAGAAAGTCTACTTACTCACTTCACTCCAGTCTTCTGGCAGAAATACTTGCATTAGAGCGTTCGGCACACAACTACCACCATCTTTGCCCTCCAATCCTGTGATTTTCCCCGGCAGACGAATGCTACTGAATGCCACTCAGCTTTGCTTCATGACCGCGGAGGAATCACAGAGAACAGCCAGTACGCTGAGATCTCTGAAAATCTTTCACTGAAATAAAACACAGAGAAACAGAGAAGAGAACACACCAGGTAATGAGTAACAGAAACACAAAATATAATTTAATAAATTATATCTTGCAAGAGCCATTCATATGAAATCACAATAACTGTATTGCAACACACAAACCAGAAAACACCGCACAGACTTAATTCAAGGAGAAACAAGTAACGGAGTATTGGTGTGCTAATCAGCACACACATGATACCAGGAAACATGAAACAGCGCAGTACAGCACAGTGCAGCACAATGCAGCACAGTGCAGCACAATGCAGCGCAGCGCAGTGCAGCACAGCACAATGCAGCACAGCACTGCACAGCACAGCCCAGCACAATGCAGCACAGTGCAAGCTGCAACACCATACACAATACAAAGACCAACACAGTGCAGCAAATCATTACTTATGCCTAGTCCACACTAGCCCGATTTTCCGCTGCCATGGACTTGTACAGAAATCTGTAAAGATCGGTGCGAAAAAACCTCTAGTGCTGACGATGTTGTCGTACAAGTTTCCGACATATCTGGGACGAGTTTCTTGTTGTGTGCGCTTTCGGCTAGGCTGATAACAAAAGCTGGCCAATAGTGCTTGCATGTAGTGGATCAAACGGGCCTCCAACCAATCACTGACGGCTTTTCACCATGACAACAGAGAGCGAGGGTACAGACGATGAACTGGCTGCACTGGATCTCTACTACATGCAGATGTAGATGTGTCAGCCTTTTCACAACTCTGACCATGTACTGCATGTAGCTAGTGTCAAAACGTGTATTTTTTTCACTGCCTGGTGTCTACAAGGCAAGGGTCTAGCTCGGCTGTGTATCACGTGTACGTGTACGTGTGTGAGCTGACAGGCCTTCAACTATAGTACAAGCAAAATTGCTCACCGTTGCGTGTGAACAGCTAGTCTGACTCATCCAACGCAGTCGACCGTTTCATGTCGGAGTCATTAGACACCCTTAGCAAAACACGTTATGTTGTAACGGTATTACCGTAAGGGGGAAAATACCGTGATTCGGGTTCGACCTTTAGCAAGATGCACGCTATTTTTAGAACGCTGTTGCCACGAGAATGCTATTATTTCGTGCGGTACAACCATTTATGTCACCATATACGCGATACAAGGTGAAATGCGTACGGACTATGCAATATTTGGCCACAAAACGTACCGTTGGTCACAACCAGGGAGTCGTAAAATACCATATATATAGGTATTTTACGACTCCCTGGTCACAACGATAAATCACACCCCATAACGTTTTTACGCTGCAGCTTCAACGCTATTTGGGTGATAAGGGTACGAGTACCGTAAATAATACCGTTACCGTTGTTTGCTAAGGGTGTCTGGTGTTGGAGCACGTACCAAAAATTCGGCCTAGTGTGAACCAGTCATAAATATACAACTCTGCAACTGTAATGCAACACACAACAAGCTAACCTCTTTTCACTCTCCAGTTAGGTGACTGCTGAGCCCGATCAACGTCAGTGCGTAACATCCGTACCACCAGTTTCTGCTCCAATGTCCAATATACTCACTGAACTCAGAACATAATTATCTCATTATATACGGTACTCAAACTAAAAATAATTCTAACACATTATGATGTCATAGTCGTGTCACAATGACGTCTGGTGATGTCATAGTCAGGCTACCACATAGCCGTGGCCAGAGTGCGAGGAATCGCCGAGGATGATGAAGCGACAACATAGTTATTATGACATCATAGGCATGTGATGTCACAGGCATAAAATACCATAGTCAAGTGATGGAATAGAAATGTGACAACTGCCACAAAAATGTGAAATGGTGAGACAGTGTTCATAAAAATAAAGTATTTCATCACATGATCACATGTTCACCTTATGAATAGAACGTGCTGAACCACCATCGGGGCTCCCGGACAGACAAGCCACCAACTTCTACTGAACGAGCAGGCTTCCGCACAGCATGTGTGTGTGGCAAGTGTTTTCACCAACAGACACAACTGCAGTGTCATATATCGTCCTGCTCCACTCTCCCTCTCTTCCTCAACTTCCCTGATCAATACCATGTACAGTAGTAACCATTCCAGCAGTGGTTCAACATGACATCACATGACCACCAGCAGTGGTTCAACATGACATCACATGACCACCAGCAGTGGTTCAACATGACATCACATGACCAGTGTATTATAGAAATAATGTTCATCTCTGTGTCTAGTGTTTACATGTCTGACAAGCGATAGCATTCCTTCCACTGCGCATATACACGTTATCTTCACTGTTGGTTATGCCCAACAATGTCAACAGCAATGAATCCGCAGTTGACCTGCTCTCTCGCCTGCAACAAAGTCAAGTAATCTCCATAGCTGATCATTCACTAACTCTCGCTTTGGTACTGAAAGGACCGCAAGGTTTTGACATTCATATACAGCTGATGCAAACTGCCTACTGCCCTCGTCATTCTCCGCTTGAAAGTCATTCCCATGCAGACCAACAAGCTGGAGATCAGGACAAGAAGACACAATTTCAGCGAGTACCGGAAGTGACTGTGATGTAAGGCCTGTTTCTGAGAGCGCCAGTGTCTTCAGTGATTTACACTGCTTCAGACATGGTGCAATGCTGCACAGAAACATGTCAGAAAGATCATTGTAGCTCAAGTTAAGCACTGCAAGGTACTGAGAGTGCACACGAAGAACGTGTTTGACAACCCAAGTGCTGTGTGGTGTGAGCATCGCATGCATGAAGGCCATGTAACGAAATGGCCGTCCTGTCAGCAGCTCAGAAAGCAGACCAAGACCATCATCACCGATCGGGAAGTAAAACCAGGGACTTGTAAGAGACTTACAGTAAGCCAGCACGGTGATAGCTATGAGAACATTAGTTTTGATATCCTGACAGGACACACTACCTATGGACAGGTACACCAGGTCATGACATGTGAGCACTGCGGGTACCAGCTGAGCATAGCCAGATGATGTCAGCTGCAAATTCTTTAAGGAAAGTTCTTGAAGAGCTGTGTGGTTTTCACAGATAACACTATGGATACGTGCCACAGAACGGTCAGTCAGTGCATTGTTTGGGAGAGAGAACTTAGCCAGCCCATGACAATGAGTTAGACCAGTAGTGAGTTGCTCAAAACCATCATCAGTAATCTGACAATCATTCAGACACACAGCACTGACAGATCTACTGTGATTCCTCAGTACTAACGAAAGAAGATGACAGTCAGCGGGCGAGACAGCCACGTTCGTGAAATCAAAGCCATAATGTTCGAAGGCTAGTTCTAGACTAGGTGAAGGTGACTGACTACAGCTGGTCATGTTGTCTGTGTCTGCACTGGGCTGTGCATACACACGGCAAGCCAGTAACAACAATTGGCGGCGAACTGGAGTCAATACTTCACGTAGCAAGTCAGCTGACGATGCCGACTCCGTTGGTGGAACAGTCATGACAGAATGCACAGAGCTGTCTGTCGCAGCTGAAGAAAGAAGTTCTGCAGCCTGTGAGTCTTCCGTGCGTTTCGATACAAGATACTGGTGGAGACAGTTGGATACATGCGGGTTGATAGACTTCAAGGCAGTGCACAGTATTCTCATACTGGCACGGGGGACTTTGCGACGCCACAGCTGCAAAAGAGCATGAACTACGTCGTACAAAGACGACGAGAAAGAGTGAGGAAGAACTTCTTCAATGGCCTGTGCCACACTCACATTGTCTGGCAGTAGATCTTTAAGAAGACACCTTGCTAAACTCTGCACTGCTGCCTCATCAAGATGCCCACATAGCAACTCTACCACCTCAAGAAGATCATCTTCGAAGCAGCGAAGAAACTTTGTCACATCGCAACATGATGTCAGCTTGTTCACATCCTCTTTATCAGGGATACGCTGTGTGAGAATGGATGCAATCAACGACTCTCTGCTGACCGCTGTCAGTTGTGATGCAAGAAGACACCAAAATGTGCTCAAGTGACCCGTCAGAGCTCCTACTTGCCTCACCAAATATTCTACATCACTGGCATCAGGATTAGTGGATGCCATGTAAAGAGAAGCAAGACATTCTTGCACTGAAAGATGGCTGAATTGCCATTGAGTGATGGACGGGTATGACAGTGACTCACAAGCTACAAGAACACCAAGTGATCGACTTTCTCTAGAAACCTGCTCTGCATCTAGATCAGAATCACTGAACACTACCTTCTTTTTCATTAACGATACAAAAGCAAAATGACCCAACTCAAGAATTTGCTCCTGCAGCAAGCGTGGCACAGACACCCAGTCTGGATACGCACTCTCAGTGTTCTGTCGAATCATACTCAGTATCAACGACATGAAGATACCAAACAGTGATGAAGGTACAGAGCCACAACTACGAAACACATCACACGTCGACTGTGTGAAGTAAGGTGTTTGCATAATAGCTGAGAGGCTGGGATCAGCATCCACCTTCTCTAGTAGCCTGCTAGCCTCTGCGCATGGGAGAGCATTGTTCACATACTCGCGAACATTGCCTTTGGTGAAACCCAGTACTTCAACCCGCCTATCAAATGGACATGAAACAGCCAGTTTCATCACTTCTGCAGAATGGCGTGACGTGAGAAGCAGTCGAATGCCTTTCAACTCCTCACCACGAATAATGCCACGCACAAAATCACTGCAGTCACCAAGCACAGTTTCATCCAACCCATCCAGAATCACACACACATGTTTCAGATTGGCATGAACAAAGGAAGCAATTTCTTTTTGCTCCTCCACATCTACAATTCCATAGCGCTCTAGCTGTAACAGATCAACAACATTTCTGGCATGTCGAACACTTGCATCACGCAATGCTAACGCACTCACAATGTCAAACTCGTGCCACATTAAACCTCTTGCCCAGTCCAGCGGACCTTTCAACACGAATATGGTCGTTTTGCCAGCGCCAGCACATGCAACAGCCAATACACGAACTGATTCGTCTTCATCAATGTCTTCCCCGTCAAAGTCAAACATATTGGCCAGTTGCACGTGCTGCACTTTGTCCGCAACCCGCGAGAAGACATGGCTCAACTTCTGCACATCGCTTTGCGAACCGAAGAATGTTTGTTCATTCAGTGATGCCAGGTCTTCACGAGGTATGACAACGACATTCACAAACATCTTATCTAGCGCTCGTCTGTTCGGTTTAGCGCACATACCCTTGCCCAACAGTACCTTAGCACCAACGTAGCGTTTCTTCAGCATCTCTGCAAACCTGACAACTGCATCGGGTAGCGACGACCTCCTTGGACTTGACTGTGTTGGTGATGATGTGGTCATGAGCGGACCTGCGACAGGGTAGTCGACACTAGCCGACGCAGCATGATGAACCTGGACATGATCACTGGTAGACGTCGGAGAACGACTACTCATATTGCGAAGTCTGGCCTGTGCCAGATTTTTGGAACTGCTAATCGGGTACATGACAGGGCCGTAGCAGGCGGTCCGGCAGGTCCGGCAGCTGCCGGACCAATATTCGGCCAAAAAAAAAAAAAAAAAAAAAAAAAGGGGGGGGGAGCTCACCCATGTCATGTGAACAGCTCAGGATGTCCATCCATGATGATGATGATGTGTGCAATACGTAGTACATAGTAGTGCCGGCAAGAGTTATGGACTCTTGGTGCCGGTAGTAGACCTACCTTGCACATGTCATCAGGAATATGACCCTGCTGAAGGTCATGAGGACAGTCATGCCCGTGAATGTTCCTACTCTGTACTTCCGGAAACGTGTTCGGATTCTTTTCTTCCTCCAATTCTTTCTAGATAGGGTTTGTACCAAAGATAGTCCATTGCAATACACTTTCTCCTCCTCCAAAGGTACATTTTGGTTCTTTTATCACATGCATTTAGATACTACAGTAGTGAGGTTTTGCATTCCGAATTTCGGTACAGCGTTCTTCGGTCATTTGTCGAACATCAAAATGTCGAATTTTCGCACCAACGTTTGTTTTGCAAGTCGAAAATGATGTGTTTTCATTTCGTGAGCCCTAGCATCAGCAACGTCCTGTCCCGTGCTCCTTTTCTTGCTGATTCCAACGAACTTTGATCGCCCAAAGAGTCGAGGGCCAAACCTGCCTCCTCAGTTGCCTCAGAAAAACCAACTCCATGGCCAAGTCAAATTTTATGCGTGTCACCATAGTCTTTTCAGCCACACAGATGACGGTGAGGACACTCCAGGCGAAAGAGAGTAGACAGGCGCTAGGCAGTGGAGAGGAGCAATCAGAGGTAGCTGACGATGCTATATCGTCAAAGACGCCTGCCAAGCGATGCCGAGATAAGAAACCTCTTTGAATAAATCACGCGCTAGCGCTCTTCTACAAGAAAATGCATCCGAAAAATATTTTCGGCAAAGTGAGCTTTTTCCGAACAAACACGCCGAATCTTCGTGTGCATTTTCGACCTCGCTCCCGCGTGCCGAATCTTTTTGCCGAATTTCGGAATGCAAAACCTCACTACTGTTGCTATACCTTCACACTCACAGGCTTCAACAAGTTCTGTTTGGACGGACACAACATGCTGATGCCCTTTTCCTGACTCATGCAGAACGTCCTTCTTCCTTTTCTTGCCCTATGTCACTCTACATCAGTACATGGTCACGATTACATGCATGTACATGTAGATTGTACAATGTATGTACATGTTTTTTGTTTTGTTTTGGCGGGGTAACGGCCTCTTTTACGGGCAAGATAAAGTCATGTACATGTACCGGCATATGTGTGAGTATGGGGGGGGGGGGGGGAGGGGGAGCATCAAAGTCGGATCTTGCCGGACCAACCTAAATGGGGCTGCTACGGGCCTGCATGATACTCTCAATCGTGTGTGTCAGCAGCCGTTCTCTCTCACCGAGCAGTAGACTCTACCGTCCACTTATCTAGTTTACACGACACGACCCCTAGCCCGACAAACCAACACAGTTTGTGGGCTAGGGTTGGATAAATGTTTCTGGTTGCCACAAAAACTCAGACCTACACCGATTCTATCAATATAGACTACGTCTATCTCGCTCGAAGATCGTGCACTAGTGAGGAAAGGTAACGACTGTTTTCTAGCCTTTTTTTTTACCGCCCGGACTAGCGTTCCGTTCTTGCAGCTCAGATTTTGTGGTTTTCATACTGTATCACGGTATGACTGACTGTACAGTCATGTACATGAACATAATAATGATTAGCACTCAGCTAGCAGTGGTACATGGTCAAGGAGTCGTATTCGTAAACATGGTAAAAGGCGACGACTCTTTACTCGTAGACTGCTAGGCTACAGTCAGTACAGGCTAATGATTAAGTACAGCCCCCAGACCTGGCGCATGGCATGGCCTGGTCAGGCTGGTGGCTTGTGAATGATTATGATTGTGCCGTGCACCGTGGACCACTACTACAGTACTAGTGACTACTACTACTTACTAGCACTGACTGTGACATGTACATGATGTACAGGGTCATCATTAGTACAGTCTTTAGAGTTTAGTTTTACTGTCATGTTGATCTACTAGTACCGGTACTGATAATAATGATTCATTATTATTATTGTATCAGCCCCAGAAAAACGAACCATGTGTTTTGCCTGAAGTCTTCATGGCACCGAGGACACTTTGCCGACAGACAACACCAGCAACTGTAACTGTAACTTGCCTCAGAAAGATGATTGGGCAGAAATCAAATTTCCACCAGTTGTAGTCTTCGAGGTGCTGACTGCTGAGTCGAATGGTCTTGGTCCGAGGAAGCTGAGACGCTCCCTTCCTCTTTTATTGCCATTACCGACCATTCACCAAAATGACAATAATTCACAGAAAAACACTTCACCGCAAGACAAGTCACAGAATGGACATCCCACCGACTGGACACTTTACCGAAAGACACTTCACAGAAAGGCATTTGACAGAATGGCGATACATGTATCAGGGACAAGACAGCTCACCGAAATTCCACTGTAATGACTGGTTTGTAGTCACGCTATTAACTTAAACTAACTTTACCTCTCAGGTTTATCTTTGCTAGCTTGCTTGCTTGCCTGTATTGCTGAGGGAATAATTATAATTATGCTGGTTTGTATTTGTGGGTCCCCATGGTGCCTGGGCCACGCGTACTCATCCGGCGAATATGTTTGAATAATAACTTACTTCACAGGCTCTCAGTTTGGCAGCGCTGAAAATCTTGCGCTGACGTACTGGCGCTGGTTGTGAAGTTTTGGATATTGGCTTCGTGGACCACTACCCGGCCAGTTGTGGACACGCCATTGCTGTGGATTATTTCCTTCCCTCGATATTGCAGCGTGAAAGAGGCTGGCTTGGCTTTTCGGTGGCCATTGTTTGCTTCGTCTTGCTGTGTCTTCTTCCTCCTGCGCTACCGAGGTCGGTCCCAGGCGTGAAGGCGTTGCTGGCGCTAGCCAACGCTAGCCAACGCCCGAGCACTTCCTGCTGGAGTGGTGTTCAGAGTCAGTCACGTGATGGCGCTAGATCTCAATATTGACCTGGCGATTCTGGAGTTTTCGCACATTCAGAAACTAGCTGAGCAGAAGGACATACCTAATTCGCGTGACCTAGCACGCCCAGACTTGGTTGCTACTCTGCGCGAAAATGGTATTGGCACTTATCCCCCAGGTTCGGCGCCCAGCCAATTCCCCGCCTGTGGTGAGAAGTGCCTGCCGTCAATGGTACCTTGCCTTGAGAAACTTCAGGATTGCATCGCCAGTCTAACACGTGAACTGGCTGCAGTTTCAGCAACCAGAGATGCAGAGTTAACGAGCTTGCGAAATGATTTACTATCCACACGGGAAAAGGTGAACCAGTTGGAGAACGTTGTTGGCTGTGGTGTGTTAGTCCAGCCTTGCAGAACTCAGAAGACCATGGATCTGGCTGGAGCAGCTCAATGCTCACATACGTCATCCCTCCAAAGCGACAAAGCATCAACAGTAAAAGAGAATGGACAGCTAGCCAAGACACCAGACGTTCCTAGACCATATGCCCAAGTTCTAGCAAATGGGCTCATGGCTGAAACTTCTAGTAGTGCCAGTACTGCCGATAAGGACGACGTATCCTTTCAGCCTGTCATGTCAAGGAATCAGCGCCGTCAAGCCAGGAGGATGACACGGATCCAACCTCACCCTACTGAAATAGAAGAGGTTGGACTCCGTGCAAACAAACAGGCAAAGGAAGAAGCACCACAAAGAAATCCCATCCGTCGCCAGGTATCATCACGTTACGCCAAACCGAACCAGAATGTCCCTGGTTCAGTTCCGTCTCTGGATGCTGCACCCCGCAGTCCGCGAAAGGTCTTCTACTTGGGAGATATTCCGTTCGGTTGTGAGGCAGCGAGTATAGCAGACTGGTGCAGGGAACGCGGTGTTGAAATAGTGCAGTGCTTAATATACTCCTCCGAGTATTTTCGAACTGCCTCCGCCAGAGTGACTGTCGAGGGTAAGGATGCCGATACTGTATGCCGGCACACCTTCTGGCCAAACACAATGGGTCATACCGTGAGGGAATGGCGTTTCTATTCTGACCAGCCCACCGGACAATATCTCTCACAGTGAATAGTAACCTTGTCTTCCCCAACACTACTGGAACACTGAATCCACTGGCCCGTCCCTTTTATCCTCCCATCCATACTGCCCTTACCATCCTTTCCCTCAACTGCCGCTCAGTGGTCAACAAAGTAGCGGAACTCACTGTTATGTGCAACATCTACTCTCCGGAGGTTATAATGTTTGTGTGAAACATGGTTGTCCCCTGCCAACCTCTTCTCATTGGCAGGCTACACAGTTCATCGACGGGATCGTCCCACCTCTAATATTCGATCGGCCAATCCTACCAGAGGTTATGGTGGGGTAGCCATATTGGTGAAAGATGGCTCCTTTACATCGGTGAAGCCTCTGGCGAATCTTCAGCAACCGGGCTTGGAGGCCATCTGGCTTGAGCTTCGCACAGCCAACTCACCCCAACGTCCACTCGTAGTCTGCGCCACCTACCGACCTCCTGGTGGTACCCTGGCGGATATCCAGGCATATTCTGATGGTCTGGAAGACTGCCTTCTGTCGCTTGATCTACCTGTATCCACACTACTCCTCACCGGTGACTTCAATGCCCATAACTCGAGCTGGTTGGCTGGTGATCGGACAACCCCGGTGGGTCAGTGCCTTGAAACCGCCTTCAGGTGCTTCGGATTAGAGCAACTGGTCAACTTCCCTACGCACTGGAGCCCAAGTGGCCGGTCATCTTGCTTGGACCTCATCGTCACAAATTCACCCCAGCAGTTCCTCTCCGTTGATTCAGCCGCTCCACTGGGTAGCTCTGACCACGTGCAGCTCATCTGTCGAGTCCGTCTCCCTGTCACGTCCAAAAATCCAACCCTACAATATCACTTCCTCCCAACATCTACCCCTACACCCCCAGGTTATAATTTCAAGTTGGTGCCACGTTGC